ATTTATTTATAAAATAATGTCTTCAAAAAAAAAAAAAACTTATAATAATTAAAACTTTAATACAAGGCTACCCCAATTTCTCATCCCGAGAAATAAATTTTGGTTCTCAAATAGAGGTTTGCCGATAAACAATAACAAAGTGTACTAAATTTATTTACGATTTTGAAAAACTTGGAATTCAAAATTTAAGTTGAAATTCAAGTGTAACGAGATCAACTTGACTCTTGACAATAAAAAATTTAAGGTTGGTATCGACTCGCACTATTAGCAACATCCGTATCCGCAAGTGGTAGTTGTAAATGTCGAACACGAGACTTTCAACACATTGTGGCTAGTGGAATTTACTTATTCCCCACAAACGTAATTGAGCGGCCTCAATGCAGCATTTCTCTGCATTATTGCAGAGTTTCTGCTCAAATCATCAATTTAGGTATTATCGAAATTATATTATTCTTTTCGTGTATTTTACAATTTTACACTTAATTGCTTTCTTTGTACGATTAATTTTTAATAACCACTGTATTTGTTTCTTTATTAAAAGATAGATAAGATTTTAAGTATTAATTTTTCATACGAATAGTTGGTTACATAATTTGTTGTGTTCTGGTGAAAGATTTTGAGTGTGAAAATCAAAAGCAACAGGATAAAATACAGAATTTAGTATTTTATTTCAATTTCTTGTTGATAATTAGGACTTTTCCTTACATAGTTGGTTGTTTTTTTTAGGTTTATTGATGTATAAACATTAGGTTTTTAGAGAGTGCGGGATAACTCAAGTGATTAGAGCTTCTTTCCCGATTCCAGGAGATCTTAAGATCAATTTTCACCCTTAACCTTGTGGCTCTCTAAACACTAAACATATATATATATATATATATATATATATATAAACATTAGGTTTTTGTTTGGTTGACTGAAATTTCAGCTAAAATGGGTAATCTACTGGAAAATAAATTTGAAGATTAAATATCTTTTGTTTTTGGTTCAAAATTAAAGAATAATGAAAAATTGGAAATGGAAATGAGGAGTGAGTCCGTGTTCTTTTGGACCGAACTGATTTGAACTAAATATGTTTTCCACCCTTATGGAAAACTGTTCCTACTATCGAGAAAACTATTTTCCACCCCTTTAGAAGCCTAAAGGAAGATAATGGGAATTTGATTTCATCACAATCGATCACACTTTTACTTTATTCATAATCTCCGATGTGCATTAATGTTGGTTTACTACTCTCTTGCTTCATTTGCTAACATGTTTTTGTTTGCTCATTACTTGCTTCGTGTATACTTGATTAAATATTTAGAAATAGATACTCGGATGCTTTTTTGCCATTCATTTTCCATTCTTGATATGCCTACTTAGATTTGATTTTGTTAGGAGTTTCTAGAACACTCTTACAGTCACTATCATATAATTTTCTGTTGGCAAATTGAATTTTACACCTTGACGATCCTGGACTCAAATCTTCCTTGTTATGCTCATTATTTTTCCCACTCTTTTTTGTTGGCGAGAGTGATTTTTCTGCTGTTATTTTACCAGTACATGTTTTTGTATTTCATCAGCTGGCTGTTTTGTAAAATTTAACTACTCTGTAATGCAGAGGATCTTGCATCTCTAAACATATATGAAATGGCCTTTCTATTCTATAGGGTATGGTATACTTCGTATATTTTTACTACTTGTTGGTAAATTGCTATTAGAAGATTGATACTTCTTGTAGTTTGGATGCCACCATAAGCTGCATTGGTTATTATCAGGTACTAGGCTCATTGCTGCTCTTATCTGTTCATCTATTTCTGTTTCTGCTGCTTCTACCATGGATACTTGTAAATTATTCACTTGGTAGAACTAAAGTTTTTCAGCAATAGAAAGATTAGATACACCTAAAATCATTTTTGAATGTGTCTTTCTGATGCAGTTAAGTATATTTAAATTCAACTTATAGAATTGAAATTGTCACTCCCAAAGCGCAGTAGTTTCTTACAGGCTTGGTCTCAGCCAGCCCAGGACTGATAATTATCTATTAATCTTGGCGGGAGGCGGCATCAGAAGTTCAAAAAACTTAGTTATAATCATGGCATGTTACCCTTAGAGTTGCTATTCTTGGCAGCATAAGGGATAGGTGTGTTTCATGCTACTCAATGACGCTGTCTGAGGATGATATGGTGTCAAATGAATTATTTCATGATCTTTATAATTTAAATTTGTTGATGCTTGTATTGCTACTTTAACTTCTGTCTCTTGAATACGATCTTTGTTTTGGTTCTGCTCAAGTGGAGGAGTCTATGTAATCCGGGTTTGCTAATTATTCCGTTTATATATCATGGCATCCTGATGAAGCAATTCAGAAAGTTGTCTCACTTTGGAGAAGTGCAGTTGTTTGCCTTCGGTCAATGCATTTGCATCAAATAAACGTGCAGCAGGTCATGTAGGGGTGATTGTTAATTCTGGGTTTTCAGTTCCTTGTATCATCATGTTTAGGGGGTTCTGTGTGGTCTGAACTTTCTTAGGCAACATTGTAGCTGATTCTGATAGCCTGATAGTGAATATAAAATTGCAGCATGGTTGCTATATTGACTCTTAATAGACTGGTAGCTCTAAATTGGATGCTTTGTTCTGAATTCTGAAATCAAAGAATCCATCCTCATCCAGCTCCCCCTTGAATCCCACATTCTCCATCGTTTTGATCTTGATAGTTGATAGCTCTGCCTCTATCCGTGTCATTATGTGTCACTGGTAACAAAGCGTTCAGCGTATGATACGCTGAATAGTTCATCATAACTAAGTAATGATGCAGCTGCAATATAATCGCGCATCTCAAACCTTTCTTTTACTTGGTACTTAATAAGCAGTCATAGTTACTACTTGTGTAATCTATTATTTTTGTTGGTGTTATATGATTAGTGATAATAAGGATACTTTGGTTGCTATTTACTCTGCCTTGGTTAGAGGTATATTAGTTTTTGTCAATCCTGTTCCTATTCCTCGTTGTCATGTGACAACCTCATAGCATGTTAAATACCTCCCCTGGTCATGGAAGTATTAATCTTCTCATTCTGCTAGATTCGGCTACCCTGTAACTCCCTAATTATAGTTTCAGATATACCTGCTATCAAAGGAAACTCAATCTTCCTACAGTTGTTTCTCATCCATATCACTTGCTTCTGCTGGTATGTTGTGGTCTCTTTTGTGACAGCTTGCTTTTGTCAAAAACATGTTGGATTTTCCAAGATGGATGTCACAAGAGTGAAGGGGGTGTAGCGAAATTTTTCAGAATATGTAACCTCTGTTATGTTGATATTTTTTTTATTTCAAGTCGAGTTTTTTCTTAATCAAGCTTTGTGTTATATGATATGGTTTGGCTGACTGAGGTGCAGACTCCAGACAGAGTAAGCAGCAGGGCTTACGTTAATTATGTCAGACTAGTCAGTCACAAGTAATTAATTTGATTGCATTTGAGATGTATAAAATCAGAAGTCACCTTATAATTAGTTGCACATCTCTTATATTTAACACGATCTTAATGTTTGACAGAAATGAATGCAAATGTGCAAGGCTTATGTTAGACTAGTCGGCCGAAGACCAACCTAAAGAAAGCATTTAAATCTTGGACTGGGAGTCTTGAGAGCGCAGTGGATTCAATATAAACATGATGGTTAGCACAAGTACGGGGAAAATTCTAATGTAACCTTATAACTTTTGACTATCATAATTTTTTTAAATGTACGGCTGAGATTATTTGTTTTATGATTTATTTTTAATTATTAATTTTAATTAAAAATCATGTTTTAATTATTATATATATATTTTTTATTTCTAGAATTTCAAAAATATTAAAAATTAATTTTTGGAAGATAAAAACATATTAAAAATAATTAAATATGTTTTTAAAATTTTTAATTAAAAATAAATCAAAAAACAAATAATCTCAACCGTCCATTTTTCAAAAATTGTGATAGTCAAAAGTCATAAGACTACATTAGAATCATCTTACGGAACGGTCACTCCAAAACACCGCAAAGATATGTGAAAGAACATGAATGATAGATACAATTATATAAACATGACAAGTTAAAATCAATTCCTAATGTTTGATTGCAAATTGTAATAATTAAACTAGTTTTAAGGCCTGGGTGATGTCTCGAGTTATTGTATTATTTCATGATAGAAATCCTTATTAATATTTAATTTTTACAGAATGGCAAATAATATGGTAATAGCTTAGTAGCTTACAATTATAATACCATTATGTCTTTGCTCAATAAATAAATAAATATATAAATAATACCATTATGTCTAACGGATCAAATAATGAGGAGGTTAAGGACCTATGGTGATAGAGTAACGGCATTGAGATCAAATCTCATGATACTCATTTAGCGATTTCCCTTATCACATCCTCAAATGAATCCCCTTCTTCAGTACTAGAAATTGAATTTTTATAAATTGGTATGAAAATTTTAACCCATCCAAAGCAAGTGGTGAACATGCGTCATTTTTTTTTATTATTATATTTTATCATCAGTGTATGGTCAGAATCTACAAGACATTTAGACTATATGTCTCTTTCTTTGAAATTTCTTTGTATTTGCATTGTGATTTCTCCTTCAAAAATTATCTTATCCTCCAAGCATTAAATATTGGTGCTCTCACTAACGCCTTTGGTTATACCATAGCAAAAGACAAAGTAAGATCCAAGCATTAAATTTAATGCTACAAGCCTACAACACATCTGAACTTCTTGAGCCATAACAAAAGCATCTAATAATGTCACACCATTTTTTGGTCATAATTAAAGAAAAAGATTATGTTAACATCGAATGATTAACAGTATCAGTAGTACGATTAGACCCATTACAAGTGTACAACAACAAAAGAAAGGTTTTCGGTATAATATTAGACTTTTCAAAGATCCTTTTTTGAAAATATTTATGTCAAATCCAAGAAAAAACACAACAAATTAAGCATAATCTTATCGAGTTAGCTGCAACATCATGGGCCAACTTCGTTGAAAAATTTTTTTGGAATAAATTTTGTATTGTTTTATAGTCAACGCATGATTTCAACTTGACCTTTTCATTACACAAATGTTGTCTAGAATCTCAAAAATAATTGACTATATAAAGACACTTAGTTCACAACAAAATCTTACAATAATTTCGAGTCAATTTAAACTAATTCTTCTCGACTATCTATATCATCAAAACAAACCTGACTTTGTAGATATGGAAGGATCATCTAGAGGGAAGCAACAAGAGGGAGGAGACGATGTCCGTTACCGGGGTGTACGACGACGTCCATGGGGTAAGTTCGCGGCGGAAATTCGTGACCCGACGAAGCAAGGGCAACGAGTGTGGCTAGGGACGTTTGACACGGCTGAGGCAGCGGCCCGAGCCTACGACCAAGCCGCATTTAAGTTAAGAGGTCATCTTGCTACGTTGAATTTTCCAAATGAGTATTACTCGAAATTAGACCCTATACCTCATCTTCCAAATGTACCAAGATATTTTGGTACCAATCGACCGTCGGATTCGACTATTTCGGCCGTTAATAATGGATGGAGGGTTGATAGAGGGGGCGGTTCGTCGATGGGGAATACATCCGTACAGCCTAGGCAAGAGAGGCAAGTGATTGAGTTTGAGTACTTAGATAACAAAGTTTTGGAAGATATGCTTAGAAGATCAGAAGAAGATGATTAAAATTAATGTTGTTTTTAAGGTCTATTATTGTACTACTTATTACAACAAGAAGAATCTGGTAGAGATCAATGCCACTGGCAAATTCTAGCTAGGTTGATGTATGTACTTATCAATTATGTTTTTTTTTTCTTTTTTTTCTTTTTTGTGTTGTTTATTATTATTATTATTAAGTACAAGAAAGAAATTACGTGAAGAGTTTACCATGTTTTAGGGTCTAAAATAATGTAGGATGAAATCCATTTGCATACGTTAAAAGCAAAAGTTATTAGTGATTTATTAGGTGTTAGTTCTAATTTCGTAAATTTTGAGCTATAATAAAAACTTATGATTCCATCTAATATACTCGTATATATGAATATTTATCGTATCACTGGGATAGGGTTGTTTGCTAACAACTAGAGCAAGATATGGTCTTAGCTAAAGTGCCATCAATGTCCGGGTGCAAGTCCTTGCACACGTGTCGTGACAAATAAGTATAATAAGGTGGCACACTTTACAATAATTTATTCTCGTTATAATTTCATATTCTTCATATCACTTCAACTACTATTTTATATAAGTTTTTCAAACAATCATAGTTTATTTTAAATAAGTAAATACAAAGTATATGTTATTTATGAATGTTATCCACCAAATAAGAAAATAAAATAATGTCTTACAAAAGCACATAGTCAAAGTTAACTAACTCCCTCAAAAACTTTGAAAGTTTCTTCCCATTAATCCAGCTATAAATCTATTTCTGTGTCTATTTCTTATTCATGTAAAAAGATTATTATCGGAGGGATGAAGAGTGAGTGAGAGAATTGTGAACTTGAAATGAGGAATGAGAGGATTGGTGGAGGTTTAGTGTTGCAAGGGAGATACTTCATTTACTGGCCGCGTCCTCTGGTCATGTGTTAGCTTTACTAAGCAATTCATACATGCAAAAAGTAGGTGACGAATAATAAGGATGAAAAACGCGCTATATAAGATATAGCTTAGTAATTAGTAAGTTTAATACGAGGCTTGATTTGGACCCTAATAAACCCAACATAACATAGCTAGCCAAATAATAAGGATCTACCTAGGTATTAGTCTTTTTTGTTTAGATCCAATAAGTCTAGGTAGTTTATATCACTACTACTATTTTTTTTTTGGATACTAGAGGAATCACTTTAGCAAAACAGTTTAGTAAAAGTAAGTTTATCAAAAAAATAGGTTCATTTTTAACACACATAATAATAGTAGTACAAGATTTATTTTTGACATTGATAGAAATGAAACTCTCGCCTAAAGTTAAAAATATGCCAATGCAAGAAAAATGCACTCTCTAATCTCTATGAATCAAGTCATCATCAATAAGACCCGACATCATAAGACCATAAATTATTTTTTTCAAAAAAAAAAAATTAAACAAAAAAGAAAAAAAATCATTAGACCACTTTTCGAAACAAGTTCAACCCTACTATACTATATTCCGAGAATCAAATTGACTAACACCAAGCAATTTGCAAACAATACCTTTTACTATAATCTTTAGATAATAGCAATTGCAATTTGTAAACCCTATATATAGTCAATTCAAATCTCTTGTCAGAAAATCTCGCACAAACAATGAATCAATATTGTCAACCAAGACCTTTAATCATTTTTTTTTCACTTATAACACCAAATCTAGATTTTTCTTGTAACACCAAATCTGTATTATTTGATTTCATGAATTCGATAAAGTGAAAACAAATCTCCTCTCGTACAAAGAATCAATTTTCATTCTATCTTTAAATTATAAATTATTTTTTCTACGACTCTACATGGTGTTCAATATGTGCATATGAAATGTGAAGTGATCACTTAACCATCAAATTAATACTCGCATAACATTATTGTTTACAATTTCAAAAAAACAAACTCTTATATGGAGTATATTATAAGAGATTACACTTATATGTATTTAGACCTCTGATCCATTGCCGCTAGCTTAGAAAATTAGACTTATTGAGAGTGAGCGGTGTCAAGAATAATTGAAAATCCCCATTTTTAAAGTGCCCTTAGTGAGCATCGATCCTACAACCTTTGTTGACATCAATTACTACTTTGTTGAAACCCTAACTTATTGGTGAAGAGAAATATGTACTAAATAATACAAGTAACGAAATCATTTCTAAAATAAATAAAAAAAAATGTAAAAACTACTCCATAGTCTAGAACATAAATTTTTTTTAAGTATATAAACTAATGTGAGACGATAATATATAGTAAATCAAATTTGAATATACTAGTAATTAAAAAAAGTATCATGTATCATCTTGAAATAACCGTGACCTCGAATTTGATTCAAGAACAAAAACACTACAAATGAACAGAATCCATGAAAACTCATAAAATAATGCTTTTTACTAAGATCTGATGGCACTTATCAACATGAAAATTATTCCCAAATCTTAAGAATCTTGCAGTTTTCTTTCTGATAAATCAATCAATAATAATAAAAAATAAAGATTCATGCATAAATATCGATCATCCAAACCAAAAAAAAAGTGAGCATCTTAGACACTTATTAAGTCAATGGTTGGACGTTAATTTGGACGTTAATTACAAGTCAAAATAAAGTTTATGCCCACCCGTTGACAGGATAAGAATAGAATAAATTACTTCAATATTTGAACCTAATAATTCTTGATTTATGATCAAATATAAATAGCACAATAATAATAATACAAGTATAATTAAATATTAAGTAATATAATTGGCACAAAGCTGGTTTGAAGATTTATGTCCGTAACCAAAAGTAGAATGGTACAATTCCTAGTTTGGTAAGATTTCGAATATTTGGTGCCAACTGCCTATTTTATTTTATCAATTGCACTACAAAGACATGCCCACGTGGTAAGACCATTTTACCCATATGATATTATACACATACACATTGGTTCCTATATATATTAATTTTTTTTTTTTTTTTGACTTGACTTAGATGAAATATTATGATTATATAGAGATTGAAATTCACTAAATTCTTAGGTGTCATATTTATGTAAATAAGAAGATAATATCACAAAAATATGTAATAATATCTTCAAGATTTCTAAAAATATTTATATATTGTGGGTTTAAATTTTTATAGGTATGTTAACAAAATGTAGACTAATAAATTGATATTTTATTATAGACTCCATCTCCTCTACCAAGCTGCTCATAAGCAATACAAGAGTTGTAACTCAATATCAAAGAATTATTATTTTTTGTGTTTTATTTCTTGATATTTATATATTACGGGTTTAAATTGTTATAGTATCACACAAACTATAGACTAATAAATCGATATATTATTTGTCTTTTTGTGTGTGTGAAATGAGACTTTTAATTAAGAATAGACAAAGTAATCGACGTAAAGCCTTCGTTATATCTGATGGTCATGGACCAAAGAAACTAAGCTGAAAAAGTTAGTTTTTGATTGGATTGTGTAAGATTTAATTCTTTGAAAATTCGCACCGCTGGTCCACCAACAAGGAATAAAATTATAAAAGGAAAGTGCAACTCGATCTTACGTATAAAACGAGGATAAAACTAAGTATAGTAACCGTGTAATTGCACGGTATAATAAGTTCATATGTATCATTTACTTATTAAAATAAATTTAAATATTAATAGTCAACTAAAAATCAAAAGTTACGCTCTAATATATATAACTCCTAGCTAGAAATATCATAGTATGATTTAATATTGGTATTTACATAATTATTCTACTATTATTTTATCTATTAAATTATTTATAGACTTAAATTAAGGATGACAAGTGGGTATAAAAATGTTAGTCTCACACCGCATCCGCCCTAGATGGAGCAGATATGGGTCAACTTTGGCGGGTAAGTAGGCAGGTATGAGTATATAAGTCATACCCACCGTGGGTAACAAGTAAGCGGTGCATTTGATGTCATACCCGCCTATTACATACCCGCCTACCCGCTCAATTACCTGCTAACTTATTACTATCACTAATTTTTTTATTTAATTCTTTTTGTATTTGTAATGGCGAAGGACTACTTTTCATACAACTAAATTGACTACTTATTACTTGTATAATATATTATTAAATTATACTATTATTTTATTTATTAAATTATTTATAAACTTAAAATTAGGAATGGGAGTTTCCAGCGCTTTCTTAGCAGCCTCGACTGAAAAATGCTAGTGGGTATAAAACCGCTAGTCTCGCACCACACCTGCCCTAGATGGATAGGCAAGCATGAGTACATATGTCATATCCACCAACAGGTAAGCGATGGATTTGATGTCATACCCGTCTATAACCCACCTACCCGCTCAATTTACCAACTTATTACTATCACTAATTTTCTTATGTAATTCTTTTTGTATTTGTAATGATGAAGGATTACTTTTTATACAAATAAATTGACTACTCTTTACTTGTATAATATATTATTAAATTATCTATCTACAACAATTTAGATAGTATAATGACATATTCTATAGGAAATTATCAAACAAATGTAATATTATAAAACTTTATATGCATGATCTTTCATAATAATACTCATGGTAATAATTCTAGAATTTTCAAAGTATATATGGAGAATACATTAGTCCAAATATATATATGTTGATATATGTAGGTGTATAAAATAATTATGTTGATATATTGCCAAGACAAAAAATCCACATCCAAGGCCAAATTATCTACCCCTACCCAATATTTATGAGAATCTATATATATTAAACTTAGTAATAATTCAATGAAATATTTTTCAATCTTTTGATAATCTTTTATTGCCAATAATCTTTTGTAATATTCTATTAACTATAATTTAAGGGGGGATTTTTCTTTATGGCTGGTGTTTCGGGGTTTTTTTATGTCCTGTTGGAGAGTTACGATTCCAAGACTGACCGCTAGACACCTGTACCTACAAAATAACGGAGACTCTTGTTGGTGGGAGCTCCGCCTCCGACGGTCAAGTTAGAACGTGTATGAGGAGTTTAAGTGCGGAAAGTAAAGTCTCTCTTGGAGTACAAGAGAGGATCTGCAATGTGAATTGCTCAGTTTTGGGGTGTCAGGTGACTGACTAGTTCTCTGCTTTGAGAGTAAGTGTAGGTATGAGAGTCTATCAGGGTTGATATGAAGCTCTCTGAATGTGTTTGGATATTTCTGAATAGGTGTTTCCCTAGGGGAAACACCTTATTTATAGTCTAAAAGACTGTGCCCAAT